TTTTTTTAAGAAGGAAGGTCTCACTATATTGCCCAGGCTGGAGTGCAGTGGCTGTTCACAGGCATGACCCACTACTGATCAGCACGGCAGTTTTGACCTGCTCCATTTCTCACCCAAGCCAGTTCACCCCTCCTTAGGTAACATGGTGGTCCACCGCTCCAAGGAGGTTACTATATTGATGATGAACTAAGTATGGACACCTGATTGGAACAGCACACTACAGCCCAGATCTCCAGAACTCAAGGGATTCTCTATCATCAACCTCCCAAGTAGCTGGGACAATAGGCACGTGCCACCACACTTGGTGAAGTGACACTTTTACCCCTCTCCACCAGGAGTCCAGAAACTGTAGGGTTGGTACCCTTTGAACAACCCTACCTTGCACTAACTCAAGTAAAGGTGTCATTTCTTACCCTCCCCACCAGGCCCTGAAGACACTAGGATGGAGTCTTCTTGACCATCTTCCCCAGTGCACTGAGGTAAGTAGAAATGATACCCCAGGCCAGGTGTGGTGGTTTATACCTCTAATCCCAGCACATTGGGAGGTCAAGGTGGGTGGATTACCTGAGGTCAGGAGTTGGAGGCCAGCCTGGCCAACATGGCAAAAACCCTGTCTCAACTAAAAATACAAAGATTAGCTGAGCCTGGTGGTTCATGCCTATAGCCCCACTACTTGGGAGGCTGAGGCAAGAGATTCACTTGAACCCAGGAGTTGGAGGTTGCAGTGAGCCGAGATCATGCCACTGGCACTCGAGCCTGGGCAACAGAATGAGACTTCATGTCAGAAAAAAAGAAAAAGAAAAAAATGATACCTTTTCCTCTGCCCCCCAAGCACTGCAGAGATGCTGAAAATGTCCCCCAGATTTGTAAACCTATAGATTCAAAAAGTTAATCAAATCCTAACAGGTTAAACTCAAAGAAATAATTTGAGTCAAAGAAATATGGTAATCAAGTTTCTGAAAATTAAAAACAAAGGAAATAACTTGTAGTTGTAGTCAGCCAGAACAAAATGACACATTATCTAGAGAGGTACAAATATTTGAATGACAACGGATTTCTCATCGAACATAATGGAAGCCAGAAGGAAGAGGCACAACATTTTACAAAAGCTAAAATAAAAGAAGTTAATACACCAATTAAAACAGAGTATCTCTGGTCAGCAGCAGAATGTTATAAACAAACAACAAAAAAAGCACACAGAGTGTAGAAAGACCCCAAATAGCCAAAGCCATCTTGAGCAAGAAGAATTTGACCACATTTGCTGGAGGCATCACACTGTCAGATTTTAAAATACATCACAAAACTATAGTAATCAAAACATTATGGTTCTTGTATTTTTATCCCCAAAGACAAACCATAAACAAACAAAAAAACCAGCATTGTATTGACATAAATACGGATACATTGTCCAGTGGAATGGGACACAAAGCCCAGAAATAAACCCTCACATTTAAGGTCAATTGAAATTTGTTAAAAAAAAAATTACTGAGAACACCCAATGGAGAAAGGACAGTCTCTTCAATAAATGATATTGGCAATGAAAAAGGAAAACTGCAGGCCAATATACCTGATGAATGTAGATGCAAAAATCCTCAAAAATAATAGGAAACTGAATCCGCAAATCAAAAAGTTAATTCACCATGATCAAGTAGGCTTCATTCCTGACAGCAAAGTTGGTTCAACACATGTAAGTCAATAAATATGATTCCCCACATAAACATAATTAAAAATGAAAAACCGTATGATCATCTCAATAGACACAGAAAAAACTTTCGTTAAAATCCAACATCCCTTTGTGACAAAAACCTTCAAGAAACTAGGCATCGAAGGAGCATACCTCAAAATAAGAGCCATCAATGACAAATCCACAGGCAATGTCATAATGAGCAAAAACTGGAAGCATTCCCTTTGAGAACTGGCAGAAGACAAGGATGCCTCCTCTCACCACTCCTAGTCAACATAGTACTGGAAGTCCTAGCTACAGCAATCAGCCAAGAGAAAAATAAAGGGCATTCAAATAGGAAAAGAGGAAGTAAAACTATCTCTCTTTGTAGATAATATGTCATTATGATTCAATATATATAAAATGTATTTTTTAATTTCCCCAAAGTGGGTCATGTTGTGTCACTCAGTCTGGAGTGCAGTGGCACAATCATGGCCCATTGCAGCCTCAACTTCTGGGCTCAAATGATCCTCACACCTCAGCTTCTTGTGTAGCTGGGAACACAGATGCACGCTACCATACCTGGCTAGTTTTTATTTTTATTTTTATTTATTTATTTTTTTGTTTTGTAGAGACAGGGTCTCTGTATGTTGCCCAGACTGGTCTTGAACTCCTGAGCTCAAGTGATCTTCTTGCCTTAGCCTCCCAAAGCACTGGGAATACACGCATGAGCCACTATGCTCCGTGACAATGATTCTATACAAAGAAAACCCTAAAGACTGCCCATATGATCTGGGAACAGAAAACAACTTCAGTAAGTTTTCAGGACATCAGGATACAAAAATCAACAAACAAAAATCAGTAGCATTTCCATATACTGATAAGGTTTAATCTGAGAGCCAAATCAAGAATAGAACCTCATTTACAAGAACATCCCCCAAAATAAATTAGAAATACATGTACCCAAGGAGTTGAAAGATCTCTACAAGGAGAACTATAAAACACTGGTAGAAGCAATCATAGGCTGCATGCCATGGCTCATGCCTGTATTCCCAGCACTTTGGGAGGCCAAGGCAGGCAGATCATTTGAGGTCAGGAGTTTGAGACCAGCCTGGTCAATATGGCGAAACTCCATTTCTACTAAAACTAAAAAAAAAATTGGCCAGGTGTGGTGGCACATACCTGTAATCCCAGCTACTTGGGAGGCTGAGGCAAGGGGATCACTTGAAGCTGGGAAGTGGATTTTGTAGTGAGCTGAGATTGTGCCACTGCACTCTAGCCTGGGCAACAGAGCAAGACTCTGTCTCAAAAAAATAAAAACAAAACACACAAGAAATCTCGGTGGCATTAAAAAAAGGGAAAAACATTTCATTCTCATGGATTACAAGGAGCAATATGATTAAAATGGCCACAATGCCCAAAGCAATCAACAGATTCAGTGTTATAACACTACCAGTGTCATTTTTCACGGAACTAGAAAAACGTATTCTAAAATTTATATGGAGTCAGGAAAGAGCCTGAATAGCCAAAGCAATCTGGTGGAAAAAGAACAAAGCCAGAGGCATCACCTTATCTGACTTCAAACTATATTTTAAAGCTATAATAACCAAATTAGCATGGTATTAGTACAAAAACAGAATAAAGACCCAAGGAGGAGAAAAGAGAAACCAGAAATGAAGCCACACACCCGCAGCCAACTGATCTTCAACAAAAGTTGACAAGGATAAATAATGGGGTAAAGACTCCCTATTCAGTAAATGGTGCTGGGATAGCTGGCTAGCCATATGTAGAAGAATGAAGCTGGACCCCTAACTTTCACCAGGCATAAAAATCAACTCACCATGAGTTAAAGATTTAGCTGTAAGACCCAAAACTACAGTAGTCCTAGAAGAAAACCAGGAAACACTATTCTAGATAACAGTGTTGGTTTTGGGAAATAATGTATGACTCAGTCCTCAAAGGCAATTACAACAAAAACAAAAATTGACAAATAGGACCTAATTAAACAAAAGAGCTCTGCACAGGTTGGGCACGGTGGTTCACACCTATAATCCCAACAGTTTGGAAGGCTGAGGTGGACAGATCACTTGAAGTCAGGAGTTCAAGACCAGCCTGGCCAACATGGTAAAACCCTATCTCTACTAAAAATACAATTAGCTGGGCGTGGTGATGCATGGCTGTAATCCCAGCTACTCAGGAGGCTGAGGCAGGAGAATCGCTTGAACCCAGGAGACAGAGGTTGAAGACAGCCAAGATTGTGCCACTATTATCTAGCCTGCATGACAAAGTGAGACTCCATCTCAAAAAACAAAACAAAACAAAAAGCTTCTGCACAGCCAAAGAAACTAACAACAGAGTAAACAGGCAACCTATAGAATGGTTACAAATATTCACAAATTGAGCATCTGATAAGGGTCTAATATTCAGAATCTCTAGGGAACTTAGCAAGCAAAAAACAAACCCATTTAAAAATGGGCAAACATGGACAGCTCAGTGTAGCCTTGAAC